GGGGGGGGGGGGGGGGGGGGGGGGGGGGGGGGGGGGGGTAGCTGTGGTGGAACGGAACATCAACAAAACAACATGGAAAGAAATGACACCCTCTTTTCTCCCTCAGGTGCAGGTAGTGTTTAACATCCAGCAATAAGTGATTCTGAAAGTGTTTGCTTATTTTTATTTTTTTACATGTCTGTCAAAACTTGGCAGATTTAAAAGGTGCACCCCCCCCAAAAGCTTTTAGCTTGGGCTAATGCTTTCTGTAAACCGTATCCACAAAACTTTTTAACATAGTCACGGTTTGCCAGAAGAGATTTTCTCTCTTAAAATGTCTATTATTTGTTAATGTAATTGGCCGCTTTCCTTTACACTTTTTGAATTCCTGTTTTGTTTCATAAATAGCCTCCGTATGATTATGACTTTGCTTAAGAAGGGCAAAAGTTGTCTAACCTTAAATTAGACCGTGAGCGTTTCAATTATTTATTTTTTGTTTGTTTATTTGGTGGCTGACAGCTGGTTTTCCTTGCTTGTTTTTTTATTTTGTTTTGTTTTCCCCTTCTGCTGTTCACTTCATATCCTCTTAAACAGCACTAATGGCATTGTAAAAACCCATCATCACTGCCTCGGGCAAGCTGCCCGAACCAGGAGTCTGTTCACTCAAGGCTTTGAGCTAATTCATGTAAAGTCTTGATTGGTAATCACACTGCAAAGTGTGATGTGTAGGTAGCTTAATGTAAAATCAAATAGTGGGTTACACCAGCTAGACATTTGGCATTAGAAAAGGGAATTAGCATATAGAACAAAAGGCTGATGGATGGATGGATGGATGGATGGATGGATGGATGATTAACATTTGAAACTGAGTTATCAGCATACGTGGTGTACATTTAATGCTTTTATCGATGAGACGGGAAAATCTATTGGTTTCCTACAATGTGTAATAAAACCACAAGTTCATTTTCTCTGCTGCTGTGAAAATTACTGAGGTCCCTTACCTATGCTGAGTCTCTCGACCAGCAATGAGTAAAAAGGTCCCCGCCCCCCCCCAAGGAACACCCACAACCCTTTTCTTCAGCTCTCCTCTTGCTTGGAGACATTTCCCTGCTTTGAAAGAGATCAGCAACCCCAAGGACAGGGTGACATGTCTGACGTCAGATTAAGGGGGCTGGGCTATGTTGGCAAAACTGGGATTAAAGGTGTCACAGGCTCGCTGTCTCTTCCCCAGTACTGGGAGATGTGGGTAGGATTAGATATTTTAGCTTCACGTAAAGAATGCTGAGGGTGTCATAGTAGCTTAATGGTCGACGTTGTTGCTTCACACCTGCAGGGTTGGGGGTCTGGGTCCCAGTTCCACCATGTGAGTCTGGTCCTCTGCGTGCCAGATCCATGCAGATGGGACCAGGGAGACGGTGTACTGGAATCACTGCGCCACACTGCATCTCAGCTGCGGCCGTGGAGCCTTTGCTCCTTAATCATCTTTTGTAACCGAGTAAAAGCCAGGGGTATGGTTGTCAGGATCTCTAATTAGTTGGCAGCGGAATGGGTTGTTGAAAATCGAGTTAAGTTAACGAGTGTAGCCGAGAGCCCGCCGTCCGCGGCATTTTAACAAATCCATCCTTGTCCGCGTGTGTGTGATTTATGGCTGAGCTTTCGGATGACATTTAAACATATGTAAGGCCTCTAGCACACGGCAAAATGATTCTGCAGTGAGGGCAATATTTTTTATTTTTTTGGTGTGCGTCAGATTCCTCTCCCTCCACCACATGCACTAAATGACAAATGGAGTTTGTTCTAAATATAGAAAATGGTAATGTGACATAACAGATGGAATATATAATGCATATTGTATCGGTATAGATATATGCTGTGCTGTTTGTGTTGTGGTATGCTTTATTTTTTATATGGCTTCACACTGCTGGAGACATGTCCATAGGCATTCTCGTCTCCAGCATTCTAGAACTTTCCTCGTCTGCTGACACGGTTTTCCATTATCAGTCTGTTTAAAGACCCCAGAGTCAGAGCTGTCATCGCCTGTAGGCTCAGAGTAAGATAAGAGAATTAAAATAATTCAAATCCATGGCGGAGGAGCCGAGGGTTTTTCTGATCCCCTTTTGACGTGCTCATTGTAAATTGAATATCAACCACTTATCTGTAGATATTCATTTCTCTGACGGATGATAAACTCGACCAGTTCAGGGCCCAGTTCCCTGGCACAGCATTCAACCTATTAAAAATTTCTCAAAGGCGAAATGAGTCGTCCGTGGGGCTGTCTGGAGAGGTGGACGGTCCGTGTGCTTTAAGTACAGCCGAGTAAATACCTCCTTTGAGGAAAGACGCTGCTCTGACATTTTAATGGGTTTCAGTCTGAAAGGTGGACTTCATTTTCGGAGGGTTTCGATGGTGGGGCGGCACAGTGGCTCAGGCCCGGGACGCATTCGCTGCGTGACAGGTGGGCCACGCCTACAGGACGAGTTGATTTTTATTTCCGCGCCCATTTGAACTGGTCAGAGCAGCCAAACTGCTAGCGTGAGACCTGCGTGTTGGCAGAACCTGCGCTGTGACCCCCAAGCTATGGAGAACAAGATGGTGTAGGTGAAGAGAAGCATTCCAGTTTACCTGTACTTGTGCAAAGGGAAAATAAAGCAATTATCATTTATTTTTTTTTAATTAAGGTTGAGCACTGGCTGACAGACACCACAACGCTGACCTAGCATTGTAGCGCGGTGATCTCGTATCTCAGCCCAAGTTCAGGGTGTGAAGTTTGCATGTCCGTCTTGTTTTGTGTGTTTTAATTACTATAAATAATTAAAAAACAATTTTAATTATGGTTTGCACCTGCTTCAGTAAATAAGCAGGCGAGCCTTTACTTGTATTGCAAAACAGGATTAAAACTTCCCTACAGAGCAAACTCTCCTGTTCTATCTACACCTGTTTTAAACAAATAAATCCTAATTAATTATCCTAATAAATCCTAAGTTGTTAATGTAAATGTTTTTGACATTTCTCTCCCTGCACATTTCGCTGAGAATACTTTGTGTTTAGGAGGAATGTAATGATTGAATTATTAATATTGTATTGAGTAGAGGAAACTCTTGCTGATGTATGGTCACATCCTGCTTGTTATAATCTTAATTTTGTGTGTGGTTAACATCTTGTGACTGTCAGGATTTAAACGAACACATGTTTGGGTAGGACATCCTGCCAGCAACATTACGTAACAACCGCCTTTCACTGTAGTTTCATTGTCTAGCCTATATATTATAGACATGAAAAAATATATAGATATATATTTTACAAGATACTATTTTTTTAAAACCCTTTTTCCAATTTCATTTTATTAAAGGAGAAAGTAGAGGGAACATGTGCACTATATAGTCAAACGGCAATAATTATAGTGTGTCGGTAAATTAACAACATTAGGCGAAGCGCAGTTGTTTTCAAGTGTGTTATCCCTCCCTCTGAACAAGGGTCAGCAAAACTCACCTGACTGCTTGCTGGTCAACATTATGTTCTTCACTTTTCTACGTTTTCTAAATCAAACGTTCGAGTATTGATGGCCGTTATCAAAGTGAATTCAATGTAGAAAGGCAGGGCTTGCAGTAGCAGCTCCGTAACAGCAACGTGGGGGGTGTGGTCACACGAGCGGATCCACACCCACATCCTCACACGAGCGGATCCACACGCCACGCAGCCAGTGTGGCCTGGGACTGGCTCAGTAGCACAGTGGTCTCCATTCTCAGCCCAGGTTCAGACTGTGTGAAGTTCACATGTCTGTCTTGTTTTTCTTCCAGAGTCCAGGGACATGGAAATGGGAGAGTTGTGTGAATTGTCCATGGTGTCTGACGGCGTGTACACAGCTCAATGTAAAATCAAGTACTGGGCTACACCAGCCAAAAATGTGCCATGAGAGAAGGGAATGAGGTTAGCATGTAGAACAAGAGACTGGATGGATGGATGGATGGATAACATTTATAACTCTGGGTTGTCAGTATTATGAGGTGTTCGTATTCATTGTGTTTGCATGTGTGCCCTGTGATGGACTGATGTCCTGCAGGGCTGCCTTCTGCCTCATGCTTCCTGGAATAGGTTCACCTCGCACTATCCTGGATAAGCAGGTATGGGCAAGGGAAGGTCTTGACGCTTGGCTGTCCTCTTCCCCTAGGTGGTAGAAATCGCCATTAAAGTGAGCCCCCATTTAGGCGCCCACATGTTCCAACCCCTCCTGCCCGACGTCTTCCGGGGAATCTTAGACGGAGAGGTGGGTCGCCTTCCTGTGCCATTTCTTCACCACCCGCCGCTTGGACAGCTTGGAGAGAAGTGGGCCGAGAAAGGCGTCTGACTCTCACGCATGTAATGAGGGGCCCTGTGCGTGTTGTGCCTTTGCAGAGGTATCCCGTGGTCATGTCCACATACCTGGGAATCATCGGCCGCGTGCTCCTCCAGAACTCCAGCTTCTTCTCCTCCCTCCTCACGCAGATGGGCGCGGAGTTCAACCAGGAGGTATGCTGTTATATCGCCGCCCTGCAGACTGGCAGATATCTGTCCTGTCGCCGCATAGCCGCCCTCGATCGCCTCTGCGTCACGCACTGGCACCCCGCGGCCTTTCGCTCGGCGCGAGGTGCCGCACGCCGCTGGAATGACATCAGCAGACCCGCCAGTGCGGGTTGGGCTTCATGCAGAAGCATGTGGGCTGAATGAATAAGTTTGGGGTCCTGTTGAGAGCCGCTGACTAATTACACCAGTGCCAAGGCATCTGCCTGAGATGGGACCTGTGTGGGGGCTCTCTATTGTTCCGTGTGAAGTCAGAGAAGCCTCTTAAGGTGGAAAGTAGCAGTAATACTAATAATATGAAGCACAACCACTTCAGATTTAAAGTAGGAGCCACGTCCAGTCATGCATACATATATCGTTCCTCGAAGAAATACACTCAGGAATAACCACAGCAACTGCCATCTTTTTTATTTCTTATACTTATGAAACGCTCACATTCTCAATTTCTTTCTTTTTTTGTGTAAGTTGAGGTCACAGTTACACTTGGCAGAAGAATAATGTTTAATATCTTTTGTGTTCCGGAATGCAATTTGCTCTCATTTATATATGGTTCCAGCTATTTTAAGCTACACATCCATTTAGTAATTGCCTCTTTCACAGAATGTATTTTGGCAGGCCTGCAGTCGCACAGAGCTGAGTTCTTGCACTGCTTTTACAGGTGCTTTTTCCCAAGCATGACGGCTTCCCTTTGAAGCATATTTGTTGTTGTGTTGCACCCTCTGCAATTTATTTGCCAATTGGGAATAAATATGCTTTGAAATTTCTCTTACAGCTAAAGATTTTTTACTCCATCTGTCACAGGCGCGTTTCTTTTAAGAAAGAGCAGAATAAATGAGCGAATAAGTAATTTTGTGTTTTGTCCTGGAGATCTCGCTGCCGCGGGTCTCGTTTGTTCCTGGTGGATCAGTCTAGGCGACTGGGTCGGGCTTTGCTGCGTTCCTCCCTGCCGAGCATCTTCCGCTATACACGCCGCCCGGAATCGACCCAATACGCAGCCGGCAGTGAAGTTATTTAAAGCCCCAACAGGAGGCCCTGAAGTCTGCTGTCCTTCCCCTGTTGGTACATGGACTCGAAGACCATAGACAGAGGAGGTTCCTTGGGAATTTGGCTACTCAGAGCGACGTCTTCCATTTTCTCTTCTGGTTAAGTTCCTCAGAGAAATGTTTGTCGCCCCCGTCAACAGCGACCCCCCCCCCTTCTCCCCAGCACCTCCATTGAATGACAACGACCTTACAGCAAACCTTCCACACACCTGCAGCAACGAGTATAAAAGGATTATGTAAAATGTAACTGGGTATAGGCAAGCATGTGAGCCACCCTGTATTTTATCTGTCACCATCATTCAGTCAGAACATGCCGGTAATTAAGTATTGCCAGTGGATGGATCTGGGGTGGAAAAACAGTGTTTGGTCGGCTTTATGTAACAGTGCTATGCAGTGTTTTTTTTTTTGTTAGATCACTAGACACAGAGCACTGTGTAGCTGTAAAATTAGTGCAGATGGTCCTGCAGGTCACGGTAATTACACACAGAGCTGATCGTGGAGGCTTTCATGTCCATCGGCAGGGGATGTGAAGCAGCATGAGTAGCAGATGAGTAGCAGGCTGGGTGTGGTACATGAATGATGCAAAGGTGTGAAGTTTAAGTTGATATAACCACTCGTGAAAGTTCTGTTTCCGGGGTAACCGAGTCGGCAGGTCTGATGTGTATTTTCCCATCTGAGAGGCTGGCAGGGTTTGCGTTTCTGTCCAGCCGAGTTAAACACGCCGCGTCTCCCTGTGCGTCTCGACCTGCTCGGCCCAGCGTTTAACCAGGCGCCTCCGCCATTCTGACTGTGCCAGATGGACCAGCTCCTGGGGGGTCTGATCGAGATGTGGGTGGACCGCATGGACAACATCACGCAGCCCGAGAGGAGGAAGCTGTCGTCGCTGGCTCTGCTCTCCCTGCTCCCGTCAGACAACAGGTGAGTCATGGCGGCCCTGGGCCAGTCCTCCACCCGACCGGGAAAACCACGCGACCGACCGGCATGTGCTACCGACCGGCATGTGCTACCGACCGGCATGTGCTACCGAGCGGGCGGACTTGAATTGCTGTCGGTGTCACGCTGAGACGAGAGGACATTTACATGGTTCTGTAATGCTGATGTGAATGAGCATTTGGAGACTGCTGGTCTGTGTCAGCGTCAGCCCCCCACCCCAGACTGTGAATGAGTGTCGTAGGTGGACACAGCTGCCACTTTCTTTCCAGAAAATACTTCAGGTCCTACTTTAACTTCCTTCAGTGGAGTAGCTTAATCACTTATCTCTAAGAGTGGACCAGCTAATCAGCCCCAGTCACTTTAGATTCCTGTGTGTAGACCGGCGCCAAAATACTTTCACTTTCACTTTCCAATCTTCCAATCACTTTCCTGTGGCTCCCACCAGTCCGGGACCTAAGACTCCCACCAGTTTGCGTTCCAGACTTACGGCTCCTGTAGTGCCTCCCTGATGGCAGGAGAGTAGACAGTCCATGGTTGGGGTGCGAGGCGTGTCACAGGCACTGTGTGTGCTGCAGGTCAGCGATGGTCGGCAGCGGGATGCGGATGATATGCTGGGCTGTTTTCACCACCCGTTGCAGGACCTATCTGTCAGCTACGGAGCAATTGCTATATCAAACCGTAATGGAGTTACTCAATATGCTCTGTTCAGAGCAGCGGTAAATGTTCAGCAGAATCTGAGGAGACGGACAGGCCTTCTTTAGAAGCGTGGTGCCTCACGCCAATGATCATTCAATTCCTTTAGCCATCAACCAAGACGTACTTCGGTGTTTTTGTTTGCGCTAATATGCCATTAGTGTTGTTAGTAGAAGCGAATCTAACGCCTTAAACCAAAAAGCCATAATGTTTTAATGAGTGGCTGCTCTGTCAAGAAATCAAAAATCTGGAATCGGTGTTTTATGAAATGTTTGGTAAATAGGTGGTGTCTATTGGCGATTTCATGTTCTTTGAAGTTTCTGTTTTTTAACAGCTATATAAGTTGTATGTTAAGCTGTATGTGATTTTTAAATATAAATCAACCCAGGTGAAACAGTTAAAAACATATATTATTTTACATATGTTTTTATTTGAAATGACTTGTAAAATGCACTGTTTTTGGCTGAAGCAGCTTGCCGTTCCTTCTGCATTGTTGCTCCTACAAATATAAAATGAATATGAGAACATTACCTGACCTGACCCTGAGATAATCATCTCACCCATTCACAACCGTAATACCAATTAAAGTGATAAATTCTTTTGGTATTTATAGTTCATTTCTGCCCATTAGCTGGCAGGTAAAGGAGATCGAGCTGAGCTTTTGGTCTGGTCTCTAAATTGCCGGTCGCATATGACTGTGTGTGCCCTGAGACACACTGGGATCCTCCAGTCTAGCCCCCCCGCCCCCCCGCCAAGTGCCCCTGCTGCCTGGCATGGACTCCAGTCCCCTCCATAACCCTATACTGGATAATCCTTTGGATGATGGAGTGGTGGATTTATTTATTTCTAGTTTTATAGACGGTATAATCCGCCGTTTCGGTGCTCTAAAGGTTTTTTTATCTTATGATGTTTGCGAGAGCCCGAATGAATTAGACCTGACTGCAATGATGCAGTGACTGAGAAGTCTGCCAGATGGAAGGATGCATCTCAAATCTGCGTGAAACTATCACTTTTATCACCTCACTTCCTGTTAGTTAAGTACAAGATAAATCGGCCATAACGATGACTGCTGACACCCCTGGTTTATTGATCTCTCCTCTCTGTTTTATCACGTAAACGTCTATAACGTGTTGAAAGCGTGGTTCTAAAATGGGATGTGAAATTTGTTTCCCTCGAGAAATCGCCCTGATTGAGCATTTCCAAGGACTCTGGATTGTGGGTTTTGGCCGCTCTGGCTTGGTTGGCTGCTTTCCCGTCCTGCCTGGGACCAACGACCCTTTCACCTTAAGTGCTCACATTAGGGTTCCTCCGGACCCTTAAGTCTTAATGTCTTAAAATAGATTTTCAACGTTCAAGGTCATTAAATGTAAAAAGCATTCTGAGATAAAATACATGAAAAGTATTCTGAGAAAGTATCCTGTCTTTCTCTGAAAGACAGGTTGAATAATCATATGAGAATTTAGCTTTACATTGGTATAACTTTTGCGGAATGTATTCCTTGCGTTCCTTACCACATTAAACTATAAAAAGTGCCAAAAAGCTCTTTCGAAAAGACTTATCTAAGACCATCTAAAGACTTAAAAACTAGCTAGGATGGGGATAAAGACCCTCGATCCTCACATGAAAGCTGGGAAGCCTCAGTGTTGTGCTAGTAGTCAAAGTACTGCTCTTACCACACCTCAACTTAGGGTATCCATGTGGCATCAGTACCAGGAACTGCCAAGGCCCCTTTGGCTTTTGGTAGGTTTTCACTCAAAGCATCTTTGTGGGCTGAAGTACTCTGGGTTCTCCACACTGGCTTAATGGGATTACATCATAATGGTCTTATGATACCATATATCATCAGATAAGCCAAGCAGCTATGAACGACTTCCTAATTACGTTTGCATTTCACCGTATTGTTTTATTTTTCGGTCACAGTGGCAACCCCCCCTCTTGCACCTTCCACCAATATTTGAAAGGACATGCCCAGAATTAGGGGCAGACCAACTCTGGCTAGTGCAGACCCTTTCGGAAATGTTTTCAGTTCATTTTTGAAAATCACTATAACCAACAACAACAATAATGATAATTATAATCATAACAATAATAATCATCATAAATGTGGTGAAGTGCCTACTAGTGCTGTAGTTCTCGAGACCGGTCTTGAGACCAATTTTTTGTGGTCTCGGTCTTGTCTTGGTCTCGACTCTATTTGGTCTCGGTCTTGTCTTGGTCTCGACTCTATTTGGTCTCGGTCTTGTCTTGGTCTCGACCCTTTTTGGTCTTGGTCTTGTCTTGGTCTCGGACATAGCGGTCTCGATGGGATGGGGAAAAAAAGAGAAAACAGCACATCCTCACAGAACAGTATCATTATTCATTACGCGCCTCAATTCAAATGCAACCAGTCAGATGCATCTACTTTAAAAACGTTACATTGTATACATTTTCTCAATGGACACAGTGCTTCACAGTCCACACACTTCATACACATCGCATGATAGTGAAGTCGGCAAAGAAATGTTCCAAAACGTCACCACGCGTCACCATGTCACATAGTACAAAATCCTCGCGAGAGCAAGACGACTTTAGACAGACCGTGCAGCACAAACTGGAACCGCCTCTGTGACGACACAACTTTGCACTTATTGGCTGAAGATTTTAGTCACACGCATGACGTTTGTATCCCAGGAAGTTCCAATGCATTATCTGCTATTTCTCCCGAAAAGCACATAAAGCAGTGAGAACTGGTTTCAGTTCATTTACTGGTAAAATAAAGTTTAAATAAATTACATAAATGCTCTAACAGTACACGTAAGTTAGTGGTTTATTTATTGTTAGTTACTGTAATGTTGTGCTGCTTTATTTGTTTAATCGTCAGACATACCCATCAGACAAACCGATCAAACATGCCCATCAGAAAGACATACCGATCAGAAAGACATACCAATCAGAAAGACATACCCATCAGACATAACTATCAGAAAGACATACCTATCAGACATACCTATCAGAAAGACATACCCATGAGACATGCCCATCAGAAAGACATACCAATCAGACAGACACACCTATCAGAAAGACATATGTATCAGAAAGACATACCCATCAGAAAGACATACCAATGAAGACATACAGTAACAGACATACCCATCAGACAGACATACCCATTAGACATACCGATCAGAAAGACGTACACATCAGACATACACATCAGAAGGACATACCCATGAGACATGCCCATCAGAAAGACATACCCATCAGACATACCCATCAGAAAGACATACCTATCAGAAAGACATAACAATCAGACATACCCATCAGAAAGACATACCAATGAGACATACCCATCAGAAAGACATACCAATGAGACATACCCATCAGAAAGACATACCCATGAGACATGCCCATCAGAAAGACATACCGATGAGACATATCCATCAGACATACCGATCAGAAAGACATACCTATCAGAAAGACATACCTATCAGAAAGACATACCTATCAGACATACCTATCATAAAGACATAGTCTCACAGACTACGAGGAGTAGATGTTGTCCGACTTGGCTGCAGTCAGTTTATACTCCACCCCTGCAGCCGCCGACAGATCGCACTCCACGTTGCGTCAGCTGCAGTCGAACGCACCCATTGCTTCTTTAAGGGGGGATGGGCAAAATTACAACGTCGTCGGTGATTGGCTGTTGTGTTGGCGTTCAGTAAACCTCTGCTGGATAGGCCAACGAGTTGTCTGTCTCAGCGCATTCTCTAAAACGGAGTAAATTTGGTTGATCGAGTTTTATAGTCAGTTTATGTGTGTATCATCGTGATCGTCCTTATTTTTTATCGATAAAAAATCGATATCGTTTTTGTCTCCCAGCACTAATAGCATAGTTATAATTCAATTAAATTAGGTATTTCACATTCATTAGAAAGCACGGTCTTGGAGTTGCAAGTCGATCTGGAGGCTCATTCTCTTCAATTCAAAGCAGAGGATCATCACATAGCGGTATTCATAGCTTACCCGAGGCCTCTCTCCCTGGTACTTAATATGAACATCTTTCTGGTACATCCCATCTCTTTCCCTTGACGAGGTCTGATAAAATGGTTATAGGAGAGCATTGCTGAGAATATTATTTTCCATCAGGCCTCGTAACTATGACAAATCTGGGAGATTTTAAATGAGAGACATATGGACATATGGACAACATGAATTTGATTTAACGAGTAATGACACTTTACAGCAATGCCATTTTCCTCTACAGTTGATCTGAGTAATGTGATGTTGATTCTATCCCTAGTCTGTTTTCGGTC